GGGGCGTCGCGCCCAGGGACCCCAGCCGGGCGCCGCGGCGCGCGCGGTGTGGCCACACCGGAGCAGTGAGGTTCATAGCCAAAGAAAAGCCAAGAGCAGCGTCTGCAGACGGGGCTCCGAATGGGGTGGGTGTCTCATGGGGCGGGGGCAGACTCCAAGGAGGAAACCGAAGTTTCTGAACTGGATGATGGGGAGCGTAACCCAGCTCTGGGAAAGAACTTGCCACGGAACCGTGTGCTTACAAGTGTTTCCAGTGGTAACACTTCGGTGCATTTGCTGGAATTACAGAAAGTGCATCAGGCCTCAGGGACACTGACATTAGAAGACACCCTCGAACCCACACAGTTCGTAGAGAACTAGAATTTACCTTCTGGAAAGTATAAGTCAGATGAATTCTGGTTTCAGGGTCACTGCTCACAGCTGAAGGAGCTGAAACTCCCTACCGAGAAGAAAGAGCCAGGCCACCAGCACCATCTGGGGCTGGCCAAGAGCTCAGAGCTGGGCTAGGGCCACCCCATCGAACATATGGAATGCCACAGAGCATTAAATCAGACAAGGTCACTCTGGGCCATGGTGGCTGAACACAAAAACAAGACCGCCTGGTGATCATATCTGAGCACTGCAAAAATCAAAGAAATGTGTCCAAACCACAAACATGGCCAAACCTCCCTCTACTCCAGCTAACACGAGTGACCAGGGACTCTCGGCGTGCCGCTTTCTCGGTCAGCCAGTCAGGCTTCCTGAGAGCATCCGATCCGCAGCCAGCCCCCACACTCTAGCCAAGTCCTCTAAGTCTTTTCTCTCACCCTCCTCCTAAGACACACCTCCTCGCATCCCAGTCCCCCAGCAGCTCGTGGGTCTCCCTCAAAGTGCTGAGCTGAGCCCCTTCCCTGTAGGGAAGAAGTGCTTCGTTGATTAGCTTTGCTGTCTTACATCAAATACCTGACCCACCTCTCAGAACCTCCTCTCATCTATGAACTGCTGGCCGGGAAAGGCCAGCCAGCGGGAGGAGCTCTCACACAGAAGACACAGGTCAAAGCAAGCTTTAAAAGAAAAGCTATAGAAAAGAGAGAAAATGCAAGTCATAGAGGGAAGTGTCAAAGAAACAAAAGTTATCATGAAGATTCAAGAAGATATTATATCCATGAAACAAGAGCAAATGGTTGTTTTAAATAGGAATCTGGAGAGCCAAAAGTATGAGAGCAATGTTTTCCTCCAACCAGGTTTGGAAGAGAGTTGAGTAAGTCCCTAAGAAAGCAGAATTAAGAGGTATAGAGATAGATAGGAAATAGGAAAGTGACTGGGATCATCAGGGTCAACATCCGATTACCAGCATCGGAAGTGAGCGAAAATAAAAATGCAGGGGAGACAATTATCGAAGGCGTAAGATGAATACGAAGCCTATGACTTTTCAGACTGACAAGCTGTCTGGTGCTGGGAAGGGAAAAGGATCCCCAAGGGGAGAGACTGTCCTCACAGGTTCAGAAAGAAAGACTATAGTTCCCCTACAACAGCCCCGCCATCGGACGGCACTGGACTTCTCTCCTCGACACTGAAAGCCAAGGACCATGGGCCGATGCCTTAAGCGCTGTGAGGGGCGCAGGATTCCACACCCTGCGGAGCTCCCCACCAGCTGCAATGACAGAAAAGGGGCATTTTCAGACACACACAGTCAGGAAACTCTTGGTGAATGTGCCCGCACAAAAGGGACTAATAAGCCAGGAAAGAGGAAGACACAGATCTGGGACAGAGGCTCGAGTGCAGAAGCGAATCCTGAGGAAGGGAAGCTCCTGGGCCAGCTCTGTGGCCATGCTGGGGGAACTGAGGGGGCAGGGGCGTGACCCTCACCTCATCTCCCTCATGGGGCTGGTAGTCAAAGCGCAGTGGGGGGCAGAAGGCGACTGCATGCACCTCCAGCACCTTGGCCCTGTCCCCTGGGGGATCCAGGGCCTCGATGGCCTCTTCCAGGCTGCCCAGGCCCTGCCTCTGGGAGGCCTGGGCGCGGCTCTCAGCGGCTGTGTAGCTCCGGAGCACCTGGCCCAGGGCCAAGTGGAAACCGGTGTCGCAGCACTGAGGAGGAAGCGAGGACACAGCTCAGACAGGCCTCGCTGCACGAGGCAGCTGCTCCCACCAGCCACGCAGCACTCACGTCCATGAGGTCCAAGACATCGTGCAAGTAGTAGTTGCTCACAGCAGCATTGACACTGGCCAGGCTGAGCAGGTATTCATTGCGTGCCTTCGTGCACTTGAGTTTGTGCTCCAAGAATTTGGCTTGACGCTGCTCGAAACCAACCCGGCACAAAGGCCACGCCTCAGCGAGCGGCCCACCCCCATTGCGCCATGTCCCGCCCCATGCCCACAGCCACCCTTGATGTGTCCGGCACAGGCCCGGAGGCCTGATGCCCCCTGCCTGGCTGTGCGCACACCTCCCACTCACAACCCCAGCTCCAGCTGACTTGGCACCTCCACCCTGGCGTTTCCGCTGGCCTCAGTCTCCCCATTCTCCCTTCGGGGCCACCTCAAAGGCTCTGCTCCCTGCACACCACCCAGTCACCCATCCTGCAGTCTTCCCACCCCTCTGAGACACACAGCTTTGTGTGAGGCAGGGAGAGGGGCTGGAAGGGAAGGCACCACGTTTGCAGGCGGCAGAGCTAGGCTGCAGACGACCAGGTAGGAGCTTGAGGGACACTGCTGCACCGGGACCAGGGCTGGGCAGCCTGAGGACCTCTGCTCACGGCCTCACCGCGAGTCTGTGACTCTTCCCCTCCCCAGCCACAGTGAGGGACGGGGCCTCGCCGTGATGAAGGCCAGGAGCCAGTCTTCAGAGATGGCCAGTGCCCGCCAAGCCCACCTTCTCCACCTGGCGCCCGCCCTTCTTGAGGGAGCTCTTGCGAAGCGGCCCTGCCTCGGTGGTGGTGGCAGCTGCAACAGTCCGGCCGGCCCGCTTCTCTTCCTGCCTCTCGGCTTCCCGGAGCTTGGCTTCGGCGTTCATGCTCTCCACGTGGTAAGTCTGGTATGTCTTCTTGGCCTGCGGGGAGGCCCACGGCCAGGCGGCGCTGCTGAAGGCCACAGCCAGGACCAGCGCCTCCCTCCCCCAGTCCAGCTACCCCGCAGCCCCAGGTGTTCCCGAGACAAGGTGTGACGGCTTCCCCTTGCCCGGGGTGGGCCTGCCCGGGCCTCACCGTCTGAAGTTCCGACACGACCTCCAGGAGGTCTTCCTGCAGCCGCTGCTCCAAGTCTTTGCTCTGGGAGAGGTGACCAGAGAGCCGGGGCAGCTGCCGCTCCTCGGTCAGCACTGGGCCTCCCGCTCCCCTCTGCCCGAAGCCCACCCGGCTGCCCACGTCTTCCCGGCCCGCTGCCGCCGCCCTGGCCAGGGCCCTACCTGCTTGACGATGCGGCCCACGTCGTCTGAGATGTGGCTCAGGCGCGGGGCCAGGGAGCCAGCCAGCACCTCGCTGAGGGCCGCCCTGTCTCGGCTCTGCTGCCGCGTCTGCTGCAGCAACACGGCCCAGCAGTGCAAGGGTGACAGGAGGGCCGGCTCCTTCCTGGGGACAGAGGGCGCTCACACCGGAGGCCGGAGGCCGTGCGAGGAGCCCCGCCTGCCGGGGGCGCAGCCGCCTGCCCTGGGCACCTACCGGAAGCTTTGGTGTTCCCTGCTGCTGCCCCCCAGGCGGCCTCCGCGGCCAGTGAAGCGCTCGGCCAGCTTGTCCAGGCCGCGGGAGTACTCGAGCTCGACCTCGGCGCGGCGCCGCAGGAAGTCGGCCAGCTCCTGCAGCAGCTCCCTCCGCAGCTCGCCCTGCAGCTCCAGGCAGCGCAGCTGCTCGCTCAGCTGCCAGCGCATTTCTGGGGGACAGGGTACCTGGGCTCAGGCCTGGCAGAAGTCGGAGGTGGGAGAGTCGGCCACCACAGGGTGCGCCCCACAGAGGAGGCCGGGCTGGGGCCGAGCGGTGAAGGGAGAGCAGGAACAAGGGCTTCCGGGCAGAGGGGAGAAGCTGGCCAAGCCGGAGGAGAGGCCAAGGCCCGGGAGCTCGGAGCCGCCCAGCCAGGCCCCCATGGAGCCTTCCCATCTCCGGTTCCTGGAAAGCCCCTGAGTTGCTTCCCCAGCCACTTCCTGCCTCCCGGCCCGGACCCTGGCAGGGCACTCTCGTGCGCAAACACACAGTAGCGGGAAGGCTGCCATGGCATCCTGCCAAGCCTGTAGAGAGCTTAGGGGCTCCCCGGAGGGAAACCTGCCCTCAGCCCCAAGCGGAAAGGGCAGCCCCATGCGAGGCCCGGGGCGCACTGACAAGCGAAGGGACCACAGGCGGGCCTGCTGTCTGCCCCGCCCCCACTCCTGGCCGCCCCCACCCAGGGCACCTGCACCCTGGCCTCCCCGCAGGGAGCCCCACCCTGGGCCCCTGTGGCTCCGGCTGCGGCCTTATCACTGGCTGGATCTGCTAAGAGCCCTTTCCGCAGGCAGCCTGCAGCAGGGCCCGCCTGAACAAGCCAGCAAGCGCTGCTGCCAGCGGAGTGCCCCAGGGACACAGGCCCTGGCCGGGCGGGCGTCTCAGCGCCGTCTGTGCACCCAGAGGTGTGTTCATTAATCTCTTCACTAGCAGAGCGCAGTCGGGCCCGCCGGCGCGGGGTGTTCTGCAGACAGTGGCAGAGGTCTGAACGGAGGCACCGGGAAGACGTGGCAGGGCAGGGCCTCAGAGAACAGTCAGGGATGAGAGCCGAAGAAGTGAGGAAGGACATCTGGAGGGAGGGGGCAGCTGAGGCAGAGTAGCTGGCGGAGCTACCAGGGCTGCAGGTCGGAGAGGCTGAGGGGCAGCACTGGCTGTGGCAGAGGAGAAGCGCCAGGCTCCCCTCAGGGAAGGGGCCCCCGAAGAGGTTGCAGGGCAGCGGAAAGCGCCCGCCTGGCCCAGTTGGCAGTTACTGCACTGAGAACGGGGGTGGGGGAGCCCGGGAAGCCTGCCTGGCGCCAGCAGCAGGGCCGGAACATGTTGGCACTGGGACCGTTAGGGTTTTGCCCCCACCCGTGACTTCCAGGGCTGTGGGGTGAGAGGCGGCCCCTGTGAGTGCTGCCTGCCCAGCTTCTGCCTCCTGGCTTCCCGCTGGAGAACTTGGCCTCCCTCTGGCCTCAGGCCCTCTCCCTGCCTGCATGCACCGGCCAGCGGCCAGTGAGCACACTCTCCCACTGGGAAGTCAGGCTGGGTAAAGGGACGTTGGGGGCGGGGACTTCCTGACCGTTCAGCAGCACAGCACAGAGCAGAGCCCAGGGCCAGCGGGGACTCAGGGCCGGGCCCCAAGCCTGATGCCAGCGACCAGGCCACTTGCCGCCAGGAGCACTGAATCAGAGTGGCATCTCTAGTGATAAAAGCCAATTTTATTTCATGCTCGGAGCGGTCCCAGCTCACCGCACCTTCCCTCGGGCCTCCACTCCACCCTCCAAGCAGCATCCTAACTGAGGGCGCACCCAACTGCTTCCTTTCTTCTCCAGTGCCAGGAGTGGGTGCTGCCTGGCAGCCAGACCTTGACAGGGATCCAGACATGCGCACTGGCGGCTGTGATGTCTGCCCACAGCTCTCAGAGTTCAGTCAGATGCACCCCTCCCTGACCTCCCCCAGACTAGGTCTGCCCTCTTCGCACCCTTTGCTTGGTACGGCTTTCTCTCGTCAGCAGATATCTCCATCCGGTGAGGGTGGCCAACCGTTGCCCTAGGCCTGGAGGCCAGCGAGGGCAGGGGCTGTTTCTCTTACACAGGGCTCTGGCCCTGGGGCCCTGGGCAGAACAGGCGTGAGCAGCACATCCGTGCAAACTGCAGAGCCGGGACTCAGCGCCCGCCCTGACACTTCCTGTGAGCCAGCAGCCGGTCTCACTTCTGCTGACAAGTGCAGTGCAGAGGAGATGGCCTCCCAAGCCACCACCATGCTGACCTTTCAGAATTTGGGGTGTCAAGACAGGGATCCTGCTTCTCTAGCATAGCAGAACGTTTCCGGGGGTCTGGTGAGGAACAGAGGCGAAAGCTGTCAAGGACCCAGAGCACGCACGTCTCAGAAACTGGCTCAAAACCCCACTTGCAGTGCAAAGTCGGAGCACACCTGCCCCGGGGAGGGCTGTCTCGAGTCCTTCAGCCTCGGGAGGCAGCTTGGGGAAACACACTGGGGGTCACAGTCCCCTCTGAGAAATGACAAAGGCGAAAGGGAATGCACCCTGAAGGTGCCCCTCAGGACAGGGAGGCCCAGGGCTTTGTTCCGAATAGTTGCGCTGCCTGACTGCACTGCAACCTGCCCGTGCCTGTCAGAAAGGTCAGGGCTCTGACTTTCAGTTTCTTTCGCTGATAAAATGGAGCAATTGCAAGTGAGACGCTCTAAAGCTTCCAGGAAACCGGGTACAGGAGACATCAGTCCCGCCCCAAGGAGCAGCACCGGCAACAGGCCACCAAGAGTGCACGAGGCTAATTTGCATGGCATTTGCACCAAGGCTTAATGAACCCCAAGAAGGCTGCTCTCTGAAGGCCAGCAGGCTCCTCAGCCCTGCGCCCTTAGGGGGGGGGGGGGGGGGGGGGGCAGAGGGACTGGGCAGCAAGAAGCCTGGGCGCTTTCTCATCCCTCGTCCATTGCCTGGGCTCCCTTCACTGTTCCGGCAGCAAAATCAGGGTGTTTGTTTCGTTTCACTCTGGCTAGGAGACTTTCTGGGGTGGTGTGCCCAGTGTCCCCAGCCCTCCCGAGGCTGGCAGGGAATCCACTGCTCAGGGGTGAATTGCGGAGAGAGCCAAGGGAAGGAGAGGGGCCAAAGGAAGACAAAGACAGAGAGGGGGGACAGGGAGATGGAGGCTCAGGGAACCCAGAGGTGAGGGGGGGGGGCTCTGGCGGCATTCTCCCCAAACCTCTGGAGGTCGCTGGGGGAGGGCACTGGGCCCCAGGCCAATGGTGGGACTTTCCCGGCTGCCCACGACCTTGGGGGTCTCGGCAGGGAACTGCACCAGGAGAGCCCGGCGCCCTCTCACCTTTGACTTGCGCCTCATACTCGGCCTGCGGCCCTCGCTCCCGGCGCAACTTCCCATGCGCGGCCATGGCGGCCGAGTGGCCGCGCCGTCGAGCCCCGCTGTTCCACGCGGCGCCAAGCCCGCCGCGCGCAGGGACCTGGGGCTCCGCTAGCAGAGCCCCACTCAGCCCCGCCCCGCCCCCTCCCCGGCAGCTGCAGGAACGGGGCGGGGCGGCGCAGGCCGGGCCCTGCTGCAGATCCAGAAGAGGGTCCCGGGTCCTACCGCCCCCTTGCGCTGGGCGCTGGACATGCACCTGAACTGTGTTGTGCCCAAGTTGGTTGGCAGCAGAACAGTCCCAGCCAATATAGGAGCCCCAAGGTGCCACACAAGTTGGCATCCCCAGGTGACCCTGCCAATGCCCCCCAGAAGACGGTGTGGTCACCCTTCACACCTGGCTGCTGGCCCTCACTGCCAGTGGACAGGGACATCATGGGTGCTCCAGGCCCTAGACTCCCCCGACAGCCTGCAGTCCCCGGCCGCCCAGGACATCAGCTGGGGCCACCCTTCACTGTCCCGCTCCTAGGTAAGCACAAGGAGGCCAGAGAGTGAGTGGAAAGTTGCAGGGTAGGAAGGTCAGCACGGAGACCAGAAGCCCAGCCCTGGCTTCCTCAGGACACGCGGAGTCGGCTCAGGTTCCCCTTCTGCTCAACCCCTTGGGGGGTGGAAGAGCAAGTCTGTTTCCCCATAGGTGGTTACCACTTCCTGCTGCCGGAAGAGACTCTTCTGCCTCCTTTCTCTCCAGCTTGCACCTGCCCTATCCTGCCCCTCAGATTAGGCTTTAGAGAGCAGGGGGTGCGCAAGGCTCCAGCCTCCCTTGTCCAGGGGTGCTTGTGTTTCCCACTACACCTCGGCACCAACTCAAAACCACAGCTTTTCTCTAGGAGATGGGGAAGGCAGGAAACAGGTCATAAATCAGGCTGGACTGCTGTCTTCAGTTGGTGGAAGGAAACGGAGGTGCAGCTGGGGGGAGGGGAGGCCCGTGGGCACGAGTGCAAGCGGTCCAGGCCTGTGTGTCCAGGAGCAGGTCAGGTTCTTAGAAACAGGGGCACACATGACCTCCACGGCCAGCTCGAAGAGGGAGGGGAGACTGCAGGCACTTCCTGCCTGCCAACTCTGCAGTGCTCTTGCCCAGAAGGGGAAAACACGCTTCAAGGCCCTGCCCCCACCCACCCTCCAGTGCCAGGCCCTTCTCTGAAACACCCTGCGACCACCCGCCTGCGGCCTGCATGCCTGGGACCTGGCCAGACCCCAGCAGGTCCAACACCTGGGCTTCGGCAGCTGCTGTCAGCAGGAGCCGCTGCTCCAAGCCGCTCAGCAGGGCCAGTGAGCCTCCTTGCCTCCCCCAGCACGCACAGGCGCACCCACAAGGGAACAGTCTCAGTGTCAGAAACCCACGCCCCTTCTCAGCCAACCCCAACACACCTTACCCCTACCCCACTATCAAGACTAGTTCCCAGAAGCCCCTCAGCCATGTAGCAGATTTAGGACAGGACTCCGGCCGTCCTCAGCCCCTCTCAGTGGCTCTCCTGGGCCCTTTTGTATTTCAGAAACGCCTGTGACGCCCCCACTCGCAGTCCCTGCTAAAACGACAAGCGATTAGTTTTGGCTTTTAGGACACTCGTTTGACATGAGGCCCTCCTGCTTGCCCCTGTTCCCCTTCAAAAATCCCAAAGCCCAGAGCGTTCTCCCACAGACGGTGAGGCTCCAGTGTGCAGGCCTTCTCTAAACCTGCAGACAAGTGCATTCGTGCATTCCTAGTACTGAGAGATGGCCCGGGACGGATGGGATCAGGGCTGCTGCGTGGAGGACGGGCCAGGGCGACAACGGCAAGGCTGTTACAGCCGTCCTCGTCCACAAAGCACGGATGAAGCTGAACTCCACCGCGAGCCCCTTCTCTGTTTTGTCCCAACTTCTGAGACCCGCCGCAAGAAAGGAAGGCGGGACGCAGAAAGGCTGAGCAAGTAGAGCTTATTGCTCCTGGGCAGCAGCTGAGACGGAGCCCCTAGGGCGGGGTCAGCAGCTCCTGCCCGCCCTATAGGGGGAAGGGGCTCCTATAGATTCCAAACTCAGATTCCAAAGGGTGACTCATCGCTGTGTCCCTTGATGTGAGGCCCAGTTCCTTATCACCTTCTAGCCCCATCCCGGATGCAAGGCCCCGTTCATTGGATGCAAAGCCCGGTTTGTTACCGCCTTATCACCCCTGGATGCAAGGCCTGATGTATGACTGCCCTTGTCCAGTCCCTCAGTAAATCTCCAAACTTGGTCACTCTCAACACTATCTTCCCGCAAGTCCGCCGTTCAGTTCAACAACGGGGGTTCGGCTGGGCACCTGTGCCCAGGTTCATCCTCTAGGGACACATCTCCGGACTCTAGCCAGGCCTAGGGGGCGCTTTTCCACGCTCAACGTTCGGCTAAGGCTCGCAGACCTATCCCGGAGCCGCCCCTCTCTAGTGCGGGGGGCCGCAGACGCCGAGGATGTGCTGGCCCGCGCGCGGGGAGGGCCCAGGGCGCCCCGCCCCGACGCAGCTCCCGCCTCCGCTCCCCAAACCGAACCGCCAGGGGTCAGGGTGGGCGGTCGGGGCCACTTTGGCCTAGGAGGGACGCGGGACACGGAGAGCGGGCCAGGCCCAGTGGACCGCGTCGGGAGCAGGAGGCGTCGGGAGCAGGAGGCGCCCGGGGAACAGCGGGTGGCGCGGCTCCTTTCCACCGGAGCTGGGGCGCGACCAGCGCACTGCGCATGCTCGCTCCGAGGCTCCTCCGCGCGGGGCCCGCCCCGCAGTCGCCGACCAATCAGAGCCTGGGAACGGAGCCTGCCGCGCCTTGCAAAACGGAAGGGACTGACGCCGGGCGCGCGGGGCGGGACGCAGCGCCTTACAGCTCGCGATTGGAGCCAATCGGAACGCGGCTCGCCTAATGGGCGAGCAGGCAGGAACGCGCAGGCGCGTCTTTGGCCCGGCCATGGCCCCGCCCCGGGCCTCCGCTTCCGCGGCTTGTGGGTCACGTGCTAGGCGCCAGCCAAAGAGAAGCGGCCCCGGGCCGGGTGAGGAGTCGCCCGGCCCCGCGGAGTGCCGCGCCGGCCCCTGCCGCTCAGACTGAAGGCGCTGACAGCTCGGGAGTGCTGAGCCCCCTGGGGGGTTGGGCGGCCCAGGTCCAGGGGCTGGGAGCAAGCCAAGTCGCCACAGCACGGGGAGCGCAGGGGGAAAGGTCGCGAAGCTATTTTAGGGATAAGCCGAGGACATGAAAAACGGGGTTTTGGGGGCCCCTAGTGGCGCAGCGGGTTAAAGCGCAGGACTAGGAAGCTGTCCACAGGCATTGCAGCACGTGTTCCACTCCTTCTGGGGAGCTGGCCACATGGCCAGCAGACCTCTCCTGCCCCGCCCGCTGCCCACTTCAGCAGTGGACTTCGTCGATCTGCCTGTTCTGCTCCCCACTCTGTCTCCAGTGAATCCTCTCACAGCCCTGCACCTCTGGCCTGTACCCCAGTTCTGGATGCACAATCAATCTTAAAAAAAAAGAAAGAAAAAGGGAGGTCTTGCATCCTGCAGGGAAGTGCAGAGGAGACAAGACCCAGAGAACACACAACAGACAGGGAAACAAAGCCCTGGACAGTAAGGCCGTCTCTCTCTCCTTACTTGTCTTGTAAATAACTTCATTTAAAAATAATGTATCTGGCTAAGCTCAATGCCCTGATCAGATCTGAGAGGTAGGCTGACTAGTGTGTGCTTTGGGTGTTAACAAAATTGGAATCACCTAAACTAGACCCAGCCAGGAAATATTTTAAAAAGACGTAATTACTTATGCATACAGAACTGGGATGCAGGGGCGGTGGGAGGACCCCCCAGAGACAGAGTGCAGAGCGCGAAAGGCAGATGGCCTGAAACCCCCTGCTGAGGGGAGCAGCGGGGAGTCCGGAGGGGCCTGCTGAGTCCGGAGGTCCTTCCCTGGCTTGTCTGCAGTGCTGCACTTCAATCTGTTGCGCCACCAGGAAGGGCCCTGGCCAATTTTAAATGCACTTTTGTTTTAACCATCAAAAATATATAGACTCGGGCCCCGCAGGCTGCACAGAGGTTAAGTCAGCTATCGGCAGCCACTGCAGCACAAGTCTATCCCTGGCCAGGGAGTGACCCGCTGGGCACCGCAGACCTCTCCTGCCCCGCCCGCTGCCCCCCCCAGCAGTGGACTTTGTCGATCTGCCTGTTCTGCTCCCCACTCTGTCCCTGGTGAATCCTCTTACTGCTCCTGCACCTCTGGCTTGTACCCCAGTTCTGTATACATAAAATAAATCTTTTTAAAAAAAAATAAAAACCTAGTAAGTATCAGTTTGGGCTCATGAACTGCAGCAAGTGCAACACTTCATGCACAGTGTTAACGGGGGAAATCCAGGGACGCTACTGAGCTCAACTGTCCTGTAATCCCAAACTGTGCTGGTGTATTACTTAAAAACGAAGGTGTAGGCTAGGGAGCAAGTCAAGAGTTATGTCCAACACAGAATCCACTGACTCGGAAGGCAGAGCAGGAGCGCCTGGGCCCTGCTCCGGCCACTCCCAGGCCAGGACCCCTGAGCAGTCCCATGAGCAGCTGGACTTCTGCACCTGAAGCCCAGCGAGGCAGTGGTAGAGCGCCCGCGGGGGTCTCTGTCCCCGGGGCTCCCAGATGCTGACAGCCATCAGAACTGGGAGCCTCCCCAAAGCCCTGACAAAGCGCCCCTCTTCTACCCTGGCTGGGCGGCACGTACTGTGCCCAGAGGCTTCCACGTTCACATCCACAGGACACAGGGAGGCACACCCGCCCAGAGGGGCACACTTGCACGCACAAATTCCCCGAGGCCACTGGGTGAAGTTTAATGGGGAACCCCGTGGGGCGAAGACAGGCCAGGGCAGGGAGTGGGGTGCTCGGGCTCTAGGAGGCCGAGTCTGAGGCCTCTGAGCTGTCCTTGATGTCGGTGCTCTCTGTGGTCTCGCTGACCTCACTGAGGTCTTTGCTGTCGCCGCCACTGTCCTCAGCCGCCAGGCCCTTCTCCTCAGCACAGGCCTCTCCCGGGCCCCGAAGCGCTCCACCCCTGCTGTCCATCTTGCTCTCGAGGGAGCCCAGCACCGCATGCCGGCCCTTCTCCTTCAGCTCCAGATGCCGCCTCAGCTGTTGCCAGGGCCACGGAGCAGGAGGAAAGAAAGAGCTAGGTCTCTGCACCACAGCGACCCTCTGCATGCCAGGAGCCTGCCGGCGGCCTGCACCCCACACTCGCTGGGGGGCGAGAGCGCAGCAAGGCCGGAGCTGCAAGTAGGGCTGGGCTGGGGGACCGGCTCAAGCCCTGGCTCTGCCCACCGAGGCCCATCCCCTACCTGTGCAAGGCGGGGTGCAAAGCCCTTTGAGTGACCTTGGCACTAGGAGGAGCTTCCCAGAGAACCTCAACTTTCTCCAGAGCTCACTTTCGTCTCACACGAGCCTCAAGACAGGACTGTGGATCTCCGGGATGCCCCTGGCCTCGGGGCACTTCCTCCTCCACCCCTTGCCACTCCTGGGGTGGTACTGGCATCTCTCAGAGAATACCATCTTGGGCTCAGGCCCTCCTTCAAAGCCTGGAGGGGCTGCCCCCACCTGATGGCTGGGAGCAGGGGAGGAGGCCACGGCTCCCGGCTCCACGTAGCCACCACGGGCCTCCCCACCTACAGGGAGTGCCCCGGCCAGGCTCTCACCTCATCGGCCATCTGAGTGAGGTCACGCTTCATGGCGTAGGCGTCCTCCCCATCTGCGTAGTATTTAGGCTCCACTTCGCTGATCCTGGGAACGGGGAGATGAGCCCCATCAGGAAATGTCGTCAGTCTTGAGTACCTCTAGTCATCCTGCGCCCACCCCCTTTCAGTACAGCAGCTCCATTTCCTGCCCTCTGCTACCCAGCAGTGAGCAGTGCCCGGTACCTCTACCTCTGCCTCGGGCGGGGCCTGCCACCACCCTGCCTCCGTAACCCGTCACTGCGCGTGCACAGCGGCCCCTCAGCCTGGCGGTCTGGTCCCAAGCAGCTCAAGGCCAGGCCTGTGCTGGCAAGCCTGTGTGCAGACTCGGCGCCCCGCCACCCCCAGACCCCAGAAGCACTGACTGCTGAGACAGCTGGGTCAGAGGCCCGCCCTCTGAAGCCTGGGCCAGAGCCGCGCGGCTCTTGCATGCTCCTCAGGCCCCGCGATCACCTCCACAGGCTCCCAGGCGGCTTCCAGGGGCCTTCCTTGCTGCATAGTGTACAGAGCAGCCCCACCAGCCCCTGCATCGGGCACGTAGATGCCTGAACAAACCTGTCTAGCCATTAGGGTGCTGGAGGCTCTCTAGAACCTTCCCTGCTCCTGCTGCTGACCCCTCCTGCCTGGACCAGCTTAGGCTTCTGTAGCTGCACACCCTCCTTCTGGGCACTAGAAGCTTTGTGCCCCCAGGCACATCCTGGGCCTTATCATGCCACTCCCAAGCCTCCACTGAAACCTTTTCACTAAAAGGCCTGCAAGCTCTTCCCCACGTTGCCCTCTGCTAGCCCCAGACAGCATCAAGCCACAGGCACCACATGGCCTCCTGCGACGTGCGCCGGCCAAAGGCAGCACCCATAGGCCACCACCACCGAGAGTGGGCAGGCAGTGGCAGGGGTTCCCAATCTGCTCCCCATTTCAGTTGATTCCAGGTCTTCCCTCTGGTCACCCTGGCCCCTGCCTGGAAGGTATCTGAGGCCCTCCCAGGAGCCAGACCCGGGACCACCCACGCTCCATGAGGAGAATCTAGATCCACTTACTGGAAGTTGAGAGTGTTGGAATAGAGGTGCAGAGCGGCCCGGTTACTGCAGGGGAACAAGGCGCTGCTGAGCCGCGGACTCGGCCAGGCAGGAAGTGTGTCTGGGCCCCGCGCCCTGCCCGCACCCCGCCCCACTAATCCCACTGCCCAGGTCTCCAAAAGCCAGGGTACCCCACGACCCACATCAAGACCCCCACCTCCCCTGCCCCTCAGCCCCGGCTTCCACCTCTTCCTGACATGCAGGGAGACATATTTGGCGTTGAAGTTCTCTATCATGGCTCGGGACGCCTGGTCCATCAGCTTCTGAGCCAGGCCCAGGCGCCGGTGGGAACGTTTCACGGCCTGGAGGGAACGGGTGGGAAGGGGCTGGGACCTGGAGGCGCCCAGCCCACCCCCACGCCCACCGCATCAGAACCTGGGCAGGCCCACCCACCAGTGAGGTGATGTGACCGTGGGGCACGTCATCTGGGTCCTCTTCCCTGGAGCAAGAAGAAAGGAGACCTGGCATGGGGGAGCGCAGGGGACCTCGAGACCCTACGCAGCAGCAGCCAAAAGCCGCCTACGGCGTCCATGCTACATTGTGAGCGATAAAGAGCCATGAGTTAGACCAGACGTCACAGGGGCCTGTAAGGCCCACGAGCACTGCGGGAGGCATGCTACGACTTGGAAGACAGTCAGGGGGTCAGTGGCGTGCAGCCCAGGGAGGTGTCGGTGGGGTGTCCCGGAAGTCTGAGAGCAGAGCCCAGGGTGGTACACCTGAGCCAAGGCAGACTCCGCCAGGATGAAGCAAAGTGGTTTTCATCACAATGTAGCAACCCAGCTCAAGGCCCTGACCAATGGCCCCGAGGGTGTTCATGCCAGGAAATGAGGGGGCTGGGGGAGGGCAACTGGACCTGCCCCTCGATTTTCCTGTAAACCTGTCCCTGAACAACAACAGAAACCCCAGAAGTTAGCTGAAGAAGGAAACACAAAACCCACCCAGGGCATCCACCCGACACATGGGGTGTGGGTGCTCCCCTGCCCTCCTCGGCAACTCACATTTTGGCCAGGACGTACCCCACAATCTTCCCATTCTCATCCTCAGCGATGTAGGAAAGCTGGTGGGCGGGAGAAGGGGTCAGAGCGGCCTGGCAGCGCAGACACCTGCCCGGTGCACCTGCCCCCCACGCCGGCTCTACTCAACCCCCCTTTCGGATCTGCCACCCGGCGGCAGGCTGAAAACGCGGCGCCCGGTCCACCCGGGCGCACACCCGCAGTCGCCAAGGCCACCGGGCGGGCCTTCCCTCGGCGACCCCAGCCCCGAGGCCGCCCACCTGGGGCCAGGAGAGGCCGTGGTAGAAGTAGTACTTCATCTGGTAGTTCTCGGGCAGGCACAGGAGGTTGCAGTGCTGCATGTTCATCAGGTCCTCCGGCTGCGAGGGCGGAGCGCGGTCAGGCGCCGTAGGCCGCGGCCCGGCTGGCGCCCGCTCG